AAAAAAAGGCAGTGGGCTTCCCTGGTGGCGCAGTGGTTGAGAGTCCGCCTGCCGATGCAGGGGACACGGGTTCATGCCCCGGTCCGGGAAGATCCCACATGCTGCAGAGCAGCTGGGCCCGTGAGCCATGGCCGCTGAGCCTGCGCGTCTGGAGCCTGTGCTCCACAACGGCAGAGGCCACAGCAATGAGAGGCCCGCGTACCGCAAAAAAAAAAAAAAAAAAAAAAATTGTAAGTCAATAAAGTTGACTTAAAATAATACTGATGGGGCTTCCCTGGTGGCGCAGTGGTTGAGAATCCTCTTGCCGATGCAGGGGACGCGGGTTCGTGCCCCGGACCGGGAAGATCCCACATGCCGCGGAGTGGCTGGGCCCGTGAGCCATGGCCGCTGAGCCTGCGCATTCGGAGACTGTGCTCCACAACGAGAGAGGCCACAACAGTGAGAGGCCCACATACCACAAAAAATAAAAATAAAAAAATAATAATACTGATGACGAGGTTCATCCCTAGAGATTTGGGGATGTGGTCATTTTTTGTTCTTTATCTTGATTTTTAAAGAATTCCTCGAGTTATTCTGATTTACAGTGAAGTTTAGAAACAGCCACAGCAATGTGTGTGTGCACTATTCATCTCTGAGAAGCAAATCTATGTGACATTTGATTTTAAGCAGAGCTTTAACATCTTTTAAAATAGTTTAAATGCTTCTATCTAAAAAAACCCCCAACCAAACCAAAAAAAACACACCACCGCCTGCCCCCCAGAACCTTGAAAACACAGTTACTATAAATGTATTCCTCCTAGCCGAATACTTTTTCACTATTTGTTTCCAAGAGGAGAGAGAATTATTTTGGTCTTTGTTTCCTGTATGATTGATAAACCATGGGAATAACCATTCTTTCCCAGGAGGAAGAGAACCTTCTGACAAAGACCTTATAATTTTGTCAACTATAAAATAAAGATGTTGAACTAAACTTTTTCTGTGAGGCTTTTTTTTAAAATCTTCGAACATGAGGATTCTTTTATTCTCTTCTTCATTTGCTTCTCTACTGTTAAATTCTTTTTGCACCAATACATTAAATGGACACCAAAATATCATGCAATTAATATTATGTTAAGATACCATGTAGAAGTTGTAACCTCATGTTATTTGAGTCAAACACTGACTCTGGATCTTGACCTTCATGAATGTAAGAAAGCTGATTAGGTTAGTAGTATTTTTCTTACATGCAGTGACAAACAACTATCTTAAGTGCCTTGAGCATCTCTCCCTGAGTACTGCTTTCACAATTAAGACTGCTGAGGGCAGGAGGCACATCCTTTTACCTAATTTCTCATAAGGTTAAATGTATATATTTGAGAACTAAATATAACTAGCTTAATGTAACTTTCTGAAAAACTTTGCTCAATTGTACTCCTCTGGTGACCCAAAGCTGTCAATTCAATGAATCTCTAAAAAGATTCATCTCTTTACAGCTCTTTAATATTTACTAAGCTCCTCCTTCAAGCAAGGCATTATGCTTTGTGCTCTGAAGTAAACAATAAGGATTAAGACATTCCTACTGTATCATAAAGCCGTAAACTGTCAGCTACAAGGTAGAGCCTGAGAATGGAGAAAAATATTACTGAATCAAACGTAAACAATTATATGAAAAAGGCTGTGATTTCAAATTCACAAATACACGAGAAAATACTACGTTAAATCACTACAACATACTGTCCCATTAACAGTAGCTTACCTCAAGTTGATGCAGTAGAGCTTTTCCTTTTTTATTTATTTCTACCATCAATGTAAATATGGCAACTTTAATATCCTGTTCCACCTGCTTCTGATTTTGATTTACTTCAATTATCCTGAAAATTAAACAAAAGGGGGAAGTCTAAAATCTAAGGCAGAAGATTTGTTTTACAATATGTAATATTGATTTTCTAATCCCTAAATTAGACCAAAAAGTTTTCAGCTCTTAAAAGCTCAGCTTTTTCTAAGGGTCCTTCAGTTTAAATAGACTTTCCTGAAGATGAGATAGCAGAAATATTAATTCTTCCAAAACACATAGTCAATTCAATCTTAAAATCAAAATGTATAAAACTGCAAGAGAATGAACACATCTTAAGAAAACATTATTTGGAAAGATTATGACACCTGGAAAAATTCTCAGCCTAAAAGGTCGGACAAAAAAATGATTTATAAACAAGATAAGGAAAACCAGGACTGAATGAGTTCTACTGTATTCACTGCAACTAAGAAATAGAAAAGCTTAAATGTGTCACTATTATCTTAGTCATCTGAACTGTTACCCATTCATTATATCTGAATAAAAGCAGAAAGACAATAATAGTAGTCTGCTACTTTTAATAGCACATTTGTCTTGAAATAAGCAGCCAAATAACTATATGTTTTTATCAACCAGCATATACATTTTTTCCTTTGATTAGAGAAAATGGGAATGCTATTTTCATGGAGATCAAGATGGATAGGAAAAAAAATACATAGCATTATACCAGAATATCTTATAAAAACAGAAATAGAATAATGAGGCATCCACCATCAAACATTCTGAGATAAATAAAAGGCTTCATTTCTTCTGCCTGCTTAATTTGCAAAACTTAAGATGAAAAGGGCAGGGATTTTATTCTCTGTTGGAAATTCTTTTTTTTTTTTTTCATTATAGTTGATTTACAACGTTGTATTAGTTTCAGGTGGACAGCAAAGTGATTCAGTTATACATACATATATATATTCTCTTTCAGATTATTTTCCCTTATACGTTATTACAAAATATTGCGTATAATTTCCCTGTGCTATATAGTAGGTCCTTGTTGGTTACCTATTTTATATATAGTAGTGTGTATATGTTAATGCCCCCTTAATTTATCACACTGGAAATTCTTCAAGATAATTATTTGTTATCAATATTGGCTAGAGGATCAAGGAAACCAGATAGGTCTAGGAAGCAAACAACATCAAAAACAAAACAAAACAAAACAAACCCCCAAAAAACAGAACAAAACAAAAAACCCAACTAATTTAAATCTCATGATGGTAGAACAGGATGAAAAAGGGACAAGTAATGCCATGTTTGCACATGCATAAAGATGAATTAATAGCAAAGTCAGTCCAGTAAATTTAATCCTTCTATAATCAGGTAGCTATAAAGATACAAAGAATTAGCACCTAATCCAAAGAGTCTTTAATTTTTACCACAATTCAAAAACTAAAATCCTTCCACACCATAATATATTATTTTGTAAAAAGAGCATAAACTACTAAAAAAAAAAAAAAAAAAAAAAAAAAAAAAAAAAAAAAAAAAAGGTAAAAAAAAATTTGGAAAATTCACACTATGTGATTTTAAGACTTACTATAAAAAGCTCTAGTCATGAAGAAAGTGGGGTATTAGCAAGAAAGAAAAGCACAATGGAAAGAGAGTCCAAAATAATCTCACACATATATGGTCAACTGATTTTCAACAAAGGTACCAAGGCAGTTTAATAGCAACAGGATAATCTTTTCAACAAAAAGAACAAGTGTTCGAACAAATGAATATCCTTATGTAAAAAAAAAAAAAAAAAAAAAGAGTAAACTCTGGCCCATAGGTCATACCATATACACAGTGAAAGAGTAAGAAAAAAGTCAAAAGGGTGAATTTCATCAACAGTGGATAGTTTACATAAAATTAGTTATTTTACAATTACTACTGTTTGCCACTAGATGGTAGAGATTATCTACCCTTATCACTTCATAAATATTCATTATATATTTTCAATTACTCAGATACAAAATTTTAAACCCACCAATTACATCAATTTGGCAAAAATACAGTACTGTTACTAGAATACGACAAAGTAAATAGTATTTGGTCAACTACAGTTCTCATGTGAAAGAGAAAGGTAAAATGAAATGAGAGCTGATAACAAAAGAATAATAGAAACTAAAAGATGCACAAGAGAACTTTTATTATCACAATGTATAATAGATGTAATAATAACACCAGGGAGTCAAGAAAAGGTTAAATTATGTTTAAAATCTCCTTTAAGGAAAGCAGGTAAGCCAAGGAATTCCTTGGAAAGAAGTACCAAATGCCCCATCCTAGCCATGTTGAAAAATGATGAGTAACAGATTGTGACGACTGATCTTAAGGAAGATGAACTACAAAAAGGCTGATATACTTTTCCCTATGAACAACATTCAAAGCCCCTGCAAGGCCTTATTCAGGCTCTTTCTAATAAGCATTTCTTTATCTATTTAAGCAGTGACATGTTACTTTCATGTGCAAAACAACAAAAGCAAGGGAACATGGGATTTCACAGGTGTTGTAAAATGTCAGCATCTGCCTCAAATGGGATGCAAAGGGGGGTACTAGGCAAACTCCCTCCTCCCCACAGAGGTCAATGGTTTGCTCTCCAATCACTGAATTTTAGGACATGAGCCTTCAGACAGCTGATGATTTACTCCCTTGGAGGACAAACAGTATAACAAGCAATATGTAGAAGCTGTTTAAGTACTGTATCTGACAAGGAGTAAAAGGTATGTGAAACAGTTTAACAAGCCCTGTCTCCTGGTGTTCTATGATCTCTGCCTCATTGCAGTTAAAAGCTGACAGCTCAGCGGAGGCATCTCTAAGTCTAGCAATCCTTAAAATAGCAATTATGTATCTAATTAAGTATTAAATATTTTACAGTACTATAAAAATAGTTTTGTTTTTAGATCCTGGCATTTCTTGGATAATTGGAAAACACAAAATAATTAAAAATTATTAATACTTACCTGATAAATGAGCTGTTATTAAATGTAGCTTATTACCGTAATAGTTTTGAAATTTCATGGCTGAAAAGAATACTTTCCAAACTTCCCAGAAATCCAAAGTTTCTGGAAAAGTCTTATCAACTATGTGTTATTAGACCCATCCGACAGCTTACTTGGATGTACTTCACCATGAGTTAAGTAAAATGTCTGTTCTTAAAGTTAATATACTTAACACATTATATATAGATGATTTAAGTAATACCATAAATATAAATTTACCTGTTTTGGATCTGATTTCCTGTGAATTTTATGTATTTTGTTTTTTCCATCAGTTTGGTGATTAGTGTATCTATGATCACTTTCTGATTCTGAAAAGCTTCTTCTATAAATTGATATCTGAAAAAATAATAAGCTATTTCACACAAATGTCTGTCTAAAATGAGGAAAAGCCCCAAAGCAAACAAATAACTAATAGGAAACTATTTATTTATTTCATAAACTATTTATGAAACTATTTATAACTTCCCTGGTGGTGCAGTGGCTGAGAGTCCGCCTGCCGATGCAGGGGACACGGGTTCGTGCCCCAGTCCGGGAAGATCCCACATGCTGCGGAGCAGCTGGGCCCGTGAGCCATGGGCGCTGAGCCTGCGCGTCCGGAGCCTGTGCTCCACAACGGAAGAGGCCACAACAGTGAGAGGCCCGCGTACCACATTAAAAAAAAAAAAAAAATAGTACCTAAAATACCAAATATATCCACAGAAGGCAGGCCCCCCCACACACAAATTCTCTCTTAAAAAGGAAGGAGTCTTTACAGATATTAATCATGAACACTCTATTTTTTTAATTTCTATTTTTTAAATAAATTTATTTATTTATTTATTTTTGGCTGTGTTGGGTCTTCATTGCTGTGTCCAGGCTTTCTCTAGTTGTGGCGAGTGGGGGCTACTCTTCATTGCGGTGTGCGGCCTTCTCATTGTGGTGGCTTCTCTTGTTGCATCTAGGCGTGTGGGCTTCAGTAGTTATGGCGCACAGGCTTAGTTGCTCTGCAGCATGTGGGATCTTCCCGTACCAGGGCTCAAACCCGTGTCCCCTGCACTAGTAGGTGGATTCTTAACCACTGCGCCACCAGGTAAGTCCATGGACACTCTTTAAACAATTTTTAAAATCTGAGAAAAACACATTCAATCGTTCAGTTTTACAAGCTTAACAGGCTCCCTTGGTGGACCCGGCAAAAAGTAATCATAGATAAATATCTATGTAGATTTATTAACTATTTTGCAATTTCATAATCATGAAAGTTTGATGCTTTGTAAACAAATATTTTGAAGATCACTTTTAAATAACAGGTTTAAATATACTTTTCAATATTCATTGTGCTACAGGTCACAAATAACAAATATTGCATGCTCTTAATAAATGGGGGGAAGTGAGGCGATGGGGGTAAAACTCCTGATGTTATGCCTTGCGTGTGACAAAGCTTCAAGCAACAATATCATAAAATACCTAAATTAAAAAAAAATTGACTTGAAAGTTAAGATAACAACCTCTGACAAACTATGTAAGATGACTCTAAAGGGGCTCTAGAGAAACAGATGATGTGTAAGATACATAAAAAGTTTTATTAAAAGTTTTTCATAAAATGCACAAAATACATTATTTTACATAATGTGATTTAAAAGTGTGAGTGTAATTAAATCAGTAAGTATTATAAGTAGGGTTGCCAGAGTTAGAAAAAAGGGGGAACACACAGTTAATAATATTTCTATTGGATTTCTTTTGTACATAATCATATCGTTTGTAAATAATGACATTTAAAATTCTTTCTTAGGTGCAAGTTTTTTTATCTTAGTAAACTTTTTTTTTGTTATACACTCTTTAGGACCCTAATACAATGTAATTATTAAATGAAATGATCAAACTGGTCGTCTTTATTTAGGTTTATCCTAAACTCAATGCAAAAAATTTACAATATTCCAGTATGATGTTTTCTAGCTCTTTTCATAGATAATCTTTATCAGGTTTGAGAAATTTTCTTTTATTCCTAGTTTGCTAAGATTGTATATCATGGATATACATTTTATCTTGACTGTTTCTTCTGTCTCTGTGGAGATGGTCATATAATTTTTCCTTTAGTCTTTTAACAGGACGAATTACATTAATGATTTTCAAAGGTAAAATGAACTTTGTATTCCTATAATAAGGCTAACTCAGTTGTGATTCTATTATCCAAAAATCACAATGCTCCTGGACTTGGTTTCCTAACGTATTTCTTAGATATTTTAAGTTCTTTTCATGGGTAAGACTGGTTTGTACTTTTCGATTTTGATTTCTCATAAAACAAGTTGAAGAAAATTCATTCTTTACCGTTCTATGGACAAGACTGTATAGGAAAGGCATTATTTTAACCTTACTTATTTTGTAGATTCATCAGTGAAATCATTTGGGTCTGTAGTTTTCTTTGTGGGATTTACACTAAATTAAAGGACTGTTCTGATTCTCTATTTTATATTGTGCTAGTTTTGGTAAGTGTATTTTCTAAGAATTATCCCATTTCATGCAAAAATTTTCAAATCTATTGACAAAAAACCTTTTTATATTTTTAAATGCCTGTAGAAAATGTGGTGATGCTCCCCCTTTTCACTCCTGGCATTGGTTTTTTGAGTCTGTTTTCTTTTTAATCATTCATAAAGAGATTTGTTAATCTTTTGAAAGATCCAATTTCTGGCTTTGATTCTGCATTGTATTTATTGCATCCCTTTTGCTACTTACTTTGGGTTTAATTTGCTGCTTTTTCTAACTTGAGATAAATGTTTAGGACATTTACTTTTTATCCTTAATATCTAATATATGCATTAGCGATATATATTTTCCTCTAATCATGGCTTTAGCAGGATACGTCAAGGATAGTATTTTCACTATCATTCAGATAAAAATATTTTCTAATATTCATTGGAATTTCTTCTTTGATGCTTTATTTAAATTTATTTTTAACTGCTTATCTTTGAAATAATTTCAAAGTTAGATTTGCAATAGCAGAGATCTCACATATACCTTTACAAAGATTTTCAAATATTTCCTCAGCAAAGTCCTTTGACTCCTTAATAATTAGTATGCATTTCCTAAAAACAAGGACATTCTATTATGTAACCACAGTATAATTACTAAATATAGGAAAACTGACATTGAGATAATACTTTCATCTAATCTACAGACCATTCTCCAATTATGTGATTTGTCTCAATAATGTCCTCTATATCATTTCCCCTCTCTAGTCCATGATACAGTCCAGGATCATACATCATTGTGTTTTGATATGAATTACATTTCTTCATTTTCAAATATATGGAGATTTTTCTCATTTATTATTGTTTTCTAGATTGACTGCATTGAGTTTACACAAGAATTTATATGATTTCGATCTTCTGAAATGTAAAACTGCCCTGGCATATGGTTAATTGATTTTTTCCTTTTTTATGTTTGGAAATAATGTTTATAATTGGGTGCAGTGTCCTTAATGTCCATGAGGTCATTTGCTAGTTGTGTTTTTTGACTCTTACTGAAATATCCTTACTGAGTTTTAGTCTGCTTGTTTTGCCAATTACTGAGAGAAATATGTTAAATTTCCCACTATGTGGATTTGTCTCTAAGTTCTGTCTTTTTTCTTTATATTTTGTAAGGCTAGTGAGGAATATAAATTTAGAACTATTATATCTTTTAGATAAAAAGAGCCTTGTATTGTTATGAAGTTTCTCTCTTTATCTCAAATAATGTACTTTGATATACCAGCTTACCTTTGATTAGTGTTTGTATGGCACAGCTTTTCTCAACATTCTTTTTATATACTTAGGTTTTAGATGTTTCTCTCACAAAAAGCAAGTAGCAGATTCTCTATTTGCTTTCTTATCCAGCCTGGAATCTTTTCATTTGGAACATTTTATCCATTCACGTTTATTATAATTACAAATATATTTAGAGATATACCAACTTATCAAGTCTTATTAAATCACATTTGTTCTTTGTTCCTATTCTCTTTTTTGGCCTGTGTTTAGACTAATTGTTAATTTTTCTACTTCCTCCCTCTGTTATCCTGATAATCATATTGACTTTTACTATTCGTTTAGTGACTACTCCATGCATTAAAAAATGCAGATCTTAACTTATCATCTAAGAATAACTTGTAGTTTACTACCTTCTTCCTAAGCGATGCATGAACCTTAGAACATGAACTCCATATCCTCCTAACATATCTGTGTGATATTTAACACACACATGACACACCAAGACATTACTGTGTAAGTCAACATCTATTTAGATTTACTCATACTTATCATTTCAGCCGTTCTTTCCATCATGCATCACCTACTGTTTTTCTTCTGCCTAATGTATGCTTTTGTGAGTGTTTACTGGGGATAACTTCTCCCAGTTTATTTTGTCTGAAAATGTCTTTCTTATAAACCTTCATTTCTGAAGAATATGTTCACTGGGTATAGAATTTTAGTTTTATAGTATTTTCTTTTTGCACTTCAAAAATATTACTTTATTTTTTAATTATCCTGCTGGGGAGTTACGGGGCTTCTTGAATATGGGCTAGATGTCTTTCTTCAGTATTACAAAGTTCTAAGCCATTATATTCTGCCCTCAAATGTTGCTTCCTTCCCATTCTTCTCTCTCTTTCTTGGACCTCAATTACACCTTGTGTTACATCTTCTCGATCCCTCTTCCATTTTCCATCTTTCTGTTTATCATGCTTCATTTTGATGTTTTCTTAATTTTCTCCCAGTTCATTAATTCTCATTTCCTGGCATGTCAGATCTGCTCTTAAACCCTCTATTGAGTTAATTTCAGTTACTGTAATGTAAGTTCTAGACATTGTTCACACTGTCTTATCTCCTAGCATATTTGGTTATTTCTAATTGTGTGCTGAACCATTTTGTAAAACTCATTATTAAATAAATCTGAGGTCTAGGATGATGTTTTCTTCCTCCAGGGAGGATTTACATTTTATTCTAACAGGTACCTTGGGGCACAAGCAATAAGATTTCAATTTAATCCAACTTTGGGTACTGAGAAGATCTGATTCTGCACTTTAGTTCCAGTGAGGAACTGTAATATTTACTAGCTCATTCATCTTTACCATAATAGTGTAGACTTTCAGAATCCCAACTCAAGGCAAGAAGCCTTTAACCCCTGTGACCCTGAACTCCAATCCCTGTCTTTCAGCCCTGTGAGCATATTAAAAGCACCCCTCAACCTCTAGGCAAATGCTTCCAAGGGGAAAAAAGCCTGTACCCATTCTCTGTCCCCACTCCAACCCAATCCTGGTCCAATAATTCTTTATTACCAAGCTCTAAAAATATCTTATCAATGATTTCTGTATTTTGTCCATGTTTTCTAGTTACCCTCACTGGTATGGCTGGTCCAAATTACCTAGTCTGCCATTATTGGGAGACCTTTTTCAACCAATTATATCTGTATCAGTTTATCAGAATCTTACTGTTTAATTCAGTTGTTGCTAATTCAAATGCCTATGGAGGACAGGTTTAAAAGTAAGCTTTGGTAGGAACTATGATGAATTAGAAGAGCATGCCCATCCTAAAGACGACTAAAGTCAATTCCAGTCAAATACTGACATGAAAGTACTGAATATATGGGACCTAGGGCTAAAACAGATTCAATTTTCTTAAGAAACAAAACAAAAAACCCCAGAAAACAAAAAACAAAACCAAAGCCATAGATCTAAATGTTTTTTTTTAAATGTAAAATCTTATTTACAACGCTGGCAACTAATTCCATATAGTTTTAAAAAGTGCGTCAGCCAGTGGTTCTCAGCTAGGGTGATTTTGCTGCCTAGGGCATTTGGCAATGTCTAGAGGTATTTTTTGATTGTCACAACTGTGAGAATCCTACTGGAATCTAGTAAACAGAGGTCAAAGGTGCAGTTAAACACCATACAATGTACCAGATAGCCCCCACAACAAAGCCAGCAGCACCAAAGTTGAAAAATCTTGAACTAGGCCAACATACTGATGGCCAAACAAAACATTATTTGCAGACGGCCGTTTGGCTGGGGTGCCAGCAGTCGTCTAGTCCTCATAAAGCTGTATTATAAATCTATGTATGTAGGAAAGATGCAGGTACCTGTGCTCTTTATGTTCTAATAACTGGCAGTCCCGACATGTCAGTTTGTCACATGTTTCACAGTAAAGTTTCAGCTGCTCCTTCTTATGAAAAGGACAAAACACTGGTCGCTGACTGGTCACACCAACTGCCTCTGTAGAGACAATGGGAGGCAAAAGAAGAAAATTAACGTAACTGAATAGTAAATAATTATTAGATTGTTCATTTAAATTAAAGTCCATTGAGATATAAAGGAGCTACAGTTTCACTGACACCACCATTACCAGCAGGTTTTACAGATAATAAAATATTAAGTATTTTTTGCATTTCTGGAGGAAAAGATAAATGAGCTTTCCACTTTTCAGTGTAAAAATTAAAATTAATTCAGGAGGAAAAGAAAGTGTGTAGCTAAAAAGATGTTTTATGAAATTAAAAAACCTTAATAGCCCAGATAAGTGAACGGAACCAACTGGAATGTTTTGTATTCCAAATGTGGGAATTTTTTTTTTAATGTAATGCAGAAAAATCTAATAAAAATGTATAAAAGAGGTGGTGGAAAAATTATTTCCCCACTTTTGCAAAATTCCTAACAGAGGATACCCATTAACACAGAGATAATCATAAAGTTTACACTATTACACTGTAGTCATCCACATAACTTCTTAATAGTTATCTAGAGTGGAGATAAAACTGGGCAGTGCTTATGTTACAATGTTAAATAGAAAAATTAGAATACAAATAAATACAATGACTGATTCAACAATACCAAGGTAAGCTGAGAGGAATTAAAAATAAAATTAATGAACTAAAAAATATATTGAGGGTAATTAGATAAATTTAGGGATAAAAACAAAAGGTAAACTACTATTTAGTCATATCAAAAAGGGAAAAATATATAAAATTCTGAACAAAAAAAGGAAAACCACCAGATAGAGAAAATTAGCAATGTATTAAAAGAATACTAAAAGCACAACACATCAAGACCAAATGGAATTAATTCCAGCAAAGCAAAAAATGGTTCAATATTACTATTGTCATAGCTCCCTGTACCCTTCTCCTTGAGGTTCATATCATCTGGGCATCACAGTAGATGATGGGTGACCATACATCCTTAGTTGGCTTGGGACATCCTGGTTTGTACCTGCTCTTCAGGAGTAATTATTTATAGAGCTTCTGATTTAGATAATTATGACATCATGTCATCCCTTTATAGACTTCCTTTATTTACGAAGTATTTCAATCCTGACTCATAGTCATCCTCCTAGCCCTTAGTCTCATCATCATCCTGGATGATTCAGAAGTCCACAGAGAGTACCACATAAAGACAAGCCTCTCAGACTTTTTTATCTCTAGAGACCTGTACTTCATTTTAGCTACTTATTCCATTTCATACACACCATGGTCCCACCCTAGATTTATTGTCCATTACTGTTCCATTTCTATAATCATAAATTCAAATATCCCACTCTAATAACTTCTACTTTCTAACTTCCCAATTCTTAAACTACTCTCACCGTACCTCACTGATATTTCTAGTCCCTAACCATTTCTTTCGCCCTATCAACTGACACTGTCAACTTCACTTTCTTTATACAGTTAAAATCCCCAAATTCTTCATGTCAACACATGCCTATATCCACATCTCTTATCCTGTGGAACTTCTAGAATGTTGGTCCAGCTAAACCCCAACCCTAAATAGTTCAATTCTTCTCTATAAATTTATCAGACTGCCGAGGACTGATAGAGGAAGTTTTAAGGACTATAGCAAATGTAACCTTGATGCTACCAAGCAATCCTATTTCCAAAGCTAGAGCTCTCTTTCAACTGGAGTTATTTCAAATATCCTCCATATTTCTTACCTTTCAGTCCTATTTCCTCTGCTCTCTTTTTCAATAGATGGCTGACTTTACAGAAAAACAGAAGTCTTTCTAGAACTAATCTATTAAATTTACCTGAGTATATACCTGGCCTTTTCTCTTTTGTGTCTCTTCTTCATCAGTGTTCTCAGAAATTATATCCCCCTTTTCCTGTATCTCAAGACTCCCAGCCTCATCTCTTCTCCTCTTCTTGCATCTTACTCTCCAGCTACACTCAACGTTCCCCCTCCGGAAATTTGTGCATGTGCTTCAGTTTTCCCCACCCTTCTCATCCTTGAAGTTCCAGATGTGGCCTTCAATGTAAATCCCCAAATCTGAGTTTGGTACTCCTTTCATGTGCTCCTACAGAACTTATGAGGCTAAACTATGATTGCTAATTTGTTCACAGTCTTCATCATACTAATAACTCCTGGAGGGTAGGAAGTACCTATCTTATTCACTTTTTCATCTCTTTAATCTAGCAAAGTTCCTGGAATATAGAATAGGCATACAAACACTGGTTGACTCAATGAATAAAAAGCAGTGGATTTATTTTTAAACAGAAATATACTAATGAGCCATAAAAATCAACAAAATGTTGATAAATATTACAACATCGATAAAACCTGAAAACACTACTGTGGTTAAGTGAAATGAGCCAGACATTGAGGGACAAATTACCCTATGATTCCACTTGCATGAAATATCTAGAATAAGCAAATTCATTGAGACAGATAGTAGATTAAAGGTTAGCAGAGAATGGTGAGGAGAGGGGAATGGGCAATTATTATTTATTGGGTACAGTTTCTTTTGGAAGGGCTAAAAAAGTTTTGGAAATGGTGGTGATGGTTGCCTAATACTTTGAATACAATTAGTGCCAATGATTTGTACACTTAAAAATGGTTAGAATGTCAGATTTTAAGTTACACATATTTTACTATACAAAAAATGTTATTAGTGAACTTTACATTATAAGCAACACAATAAGAACCCAGAAAACATAATTAAATACATAAAAAGCAAAGCTTCTTTGGTTATCTACATAACAAATATCATGAAACAGGTTTACTACAAGAATATCAGAGAGAAAAGAGTTGTAAAACTTTTTTTAAGCCCACCCCTTATCATCTTAAAAATAAGAGATGAGAGAATATAAGTTTAAAAATTTTTTTAAATTTTTATTGGAATATAGTTGCTTTACAATGTTGTGTTAGTTTCTACCGTACAGCAAAATGAGTCATGTATACATATATCCCCTCTTTTTTGGATTTCCTTCCCATTTAGGTCACTATAGTGCATTAAGTAGAGTTCCCTGTGCTATACAGTATGTTCTCGTTGGTTGCCTATTTTATACATAATATCAATAGTGTATATAGAAAATAAGATTTTTTTTCTTCTTTTCTTTGCGTTATGCTGGCCTCTCACTGTTGTGGCCTCTCCCGTTGCGGAGCACAGGCTCCGGACGCGCAGGCTCAGCGGCCATGGCTCACGGGCCCAGCCGCTCCGCGGCATGTGGGATCTTCCCGGACCGGGGCACAAACCCGTGTCCCCTGCATTGGCAGGCGGACTCTCAAACACTGTGCCACCAGGGAAGCCCCGAAAATAAGTTTTAAAGGCAATTTTTTCACATGTTGTACATTCATACCAAATTAAGGCAATTACAGGAGAAGGAGGGTTGTGTGTATAAATATAAAGCAGAATTCTGTATCTATTCATACTGACCAACACTGACAAGTATTCAAATTCAGCCATAATATAGACTTCCTTGTAGTAAAAGACAAGAGTATATTTAATGCTTATGAGTGTATCAAAACAAGTTAGTAGGGCTTCCCTGATGGCACAGTGGTTGAGAGTCCGCCTGCCGATGCAGGGGACACGGGTTCCTGCCCCGGTCCGGGAAGATCCCACATGTCGTGGGGCGGCTGGGCCCCGTGAGCCATGGCCGCTGAGCCTGTGCATCTGGAGCCTGTGTTCCGCAACGGGAGAGGCCACAACAGTGAGAGGCCCGCGTACCGCAAAACAACAAAACAACAAGTTAACATGGGAAAGAAAGAATGACTTGGGAGGGATAGAGAAAAAACGAAATTTAAAAATTAATTTATTACCTGGAGATACTTCCTCTTTCTGTCTCACAGTGTGGTCTTTTGTGAATTTCACCCTTTGATGAGCTCTGATGCATGTCTTGCAGAGCCATTCAACACACTCTACACAAAACCCATTAGCTTCTGCATTGTCCTCACAGCTTGTACATACCTAATAAAAGAAACGTCACATCAATTTTTGAGAAGAAAAGGTGGTCACATGACTAATCATATATAAATGATATACCAACTATACTTGACTCTATCAGTTATCTTAACAGTGTTCATAAATTTAAACTGACACTATGTTTTAAATTATAAACATATGAAATGGAAATATAAGGACATTGCCCTTAGTTCAATACATCAAATATTCTAGGCACTATGCTAACTGCTGAGGATATAACCATCAGAAAAAGCAAACACAATCCCTGCCCTTATGACACCCAGCCTCCTAGATGACGTGTAGGTTCAAATCCCAGTTCCCCTACTTACTGGATGAGTACTTGGACAGGTTACTTAGAATGCTCATCTTTAAAATAAGGGTAATAACATAAATTTTACTGAGTGGTTGTAAAGATAAATTTTACTGAGTGGTTATGAATTTTACTGAGTGGTTGTGAAGAAGTCAAACATTACTGAAACAATACTACTAATACATAACTACAAATTGAGAAGTGCCATAAAGGAAAAAGTATGAGAAGCTAGAAGAACATATGATGGGGGAAAGTGATCTGTTTTTAGTGGGGTTGAATGGTTGCGGAAAATGAGAGGAGAGATTACCCAGGCAAGGCTTTCTCTAAAGAGATCATATTTGCACCAAGATAAGAAAGTTGAGTCATCAATTACTGATGAAAGCTTTCTAGGCAGAAAGAACAGCATGTACCAAAGCCTCCAGCAAGAACATGGCAGGTTCAAAGAAGTGACAGAAAGCCAGTAGGACTCAAGTGGAGAGATCAAGGGGAAAACTGGCAACAGAAGGAGCTGGTGGCAAGGCAGGGGCCAGATCAAGAAGGATCATGTGGCAATTTTGGTCTTTGTCTCAGAAGTCTCCTAAAAGCTTTTAAGTAAGTAAGTGACATGGCCAGATGTGCATTTTAAAAATCACTGTCCCTGCAATGTAGAGAAGAGATTAGAAAAAGGGCAAGTGCTTCTGCACAGAGATAGGTAGGAGCCCTTTGCCGTGGTAGAAGTGGAGATGAATGAAGGAGATTTGGGAAGTAAAACTGACTGGTTTGGAGGATGCACTGGATATGAAATGAAGAAGAGATAGCACCTTTTTTTCCAGCTTATATAACTGTGTAGATGGTGGCAATATTCTCTGAGAACAGGTATTAAGGTTACACAACAGATAAGCAGTCCTCATGATATCATTTGTGGCTGGGAAAAAAATTTTTCCCCTCAGTCAGTGGTTTACATTAGCCAAATTCCAAATACCTGGATAATATTTCCATAAACCAAAACCTGCCCTTTCTCAGTTCTTGTCTTCTACCTTTCTAACATCATTTGATGCCACTGACTCTTACTTCCTAGAAATCATTTGGATTCCTTAACCCTTCCAGATTCTCTTATCTCCCAGATTGCCTCTCTGGACCCCGCCACTACTCTTTCTCCTCTGATTCTGTAGATTTTTGTTAGGTCTAGGGATTGGTCTCACCTACTCCCTCGGCTTCAACTATCACCTCTATAAGTATGTCACCTAAAACTTAATCTCCACATTATGCGGCAAAAGGAGTATGGGATTTCTATACATAATGTTAAGGAAGGACCTCTAGTATAAAAAGTAAAAGTAAAAAAGCAAAGTGTTAAAGCATATCATACCACTGCTTATCTAGGAAAGATGAGGATGGGATGGGATGGGATGACTTATTTGCTTGAATCTTAAAAATAACATAAAATTACTTAGATTATAAAATAATATTAAAAGTGTAAGGATAAAACATAAAAGAAATTAAATGGTTAGCTATAAGGTAGAGCAAAAATAAGGTAGAGGGGTAGGTGAGATGGAGATAGAAGTTTGAGTTCTCTGAATATACTCTTGTTTCATAGATTTTATTTTGGAACCAGTATATGAATGTTCTATATGTAGTTAAACAAATTTCAAATTAAAAAAAACTAAAGCCCTAAACAAAACTCTAAACAAAAGCAAAATGAAACTAATGAACCTGCCTATCAAGTGGGTGGCTTAACCATATAGAGAAGAATTACTTATTTCAAGTAACTTTAAAACATGATGATTTGATTGAATATCTCCAGTACATACATATAGTAATTATTGTCTTCTATGTTTTCTGTTTTGACAGAGATCATGCTATAATTTCCACTTCCAGTACTAACTCAATTCTTCTATACTCTTACTCTGCAAGGCTCAATTATGCTTAATGAGCTGGCTCCACATTAGATTCCAGCAATAGGTGGTGCTGGAGGAAGACTGCAATGCCAGCGGAAAAAGGGACTTGATCGTCTTAGTTGGCTTCCTGTTTGCTTGAGTTTTCTGTGAACATCTACAATGCTAGATTCAACTTCAAAATGTCAATATATACTTGTTATATTTTCCCTTTCTCTCTTTTTAAAATAGAAAGTATCTGTTAAATCATTCTCCTCAACGTCCTAGAAAAATGACCAACTCAATGGTGATGAGCGCCCCTAGTATCCATATTGTGCTCTCTAAATACCATTTCAGACTAAAAGGAACCAAGGCTCCTAGAAGAACCAACCACCTGCTGGTTCCAGGTGTAGAACAGAAAATGAACAATATCTTGTCAAAACAGAAAGCAAGGGAGATAACAGTGCCACTGCGATTGTATCAAAAGGGCTCAGGAATCCTCACTGCCAAGATGGCACAAATTGAGCACCAATAAGGATAACTACAACACATTTTATGTTAAAAATCCATGAGCTCAAAACAATAAACACACGTACACACCACTCATTAGTCACCTCTGAAGAATGCTAAGAAACTAAGTCACTACTCTAATAATTAGAAACTAAAGTGAAAGAATCAAGCATTTAACCACCTTTCCTGTATAACCTAAGAATAGAAGAAGGAAGCTTTTTTCTTTCTCTTCCAGTTGAGAAATAAAGGGGAATGACAGAATGAAAATGTCACCATTTTTCAAAGTCCTAATGAAATATGGAATCTTGGCAGTGCTCATTAACGCCATTAACATCAGGAAAAAGACAAGCAGACATCATAAGCTTCCTGCTTGAAATACACACAGACATATGGATGAAAGTATTCTTATGAAACAGCCTCTACATTTTTATCACCAGTTTACACAAAATACAGGAGACAGGGAAGCATGTTAAATGACTTAAGGAGAGGTCAGCAAAATTCAGAATAAGGCTAACTCTACTGGACTAACAACCCAGTTTATCCAGCAAATATGTTAAAAGGAAGGAAAAAGAAAGCCAAGCAAGGTGAAGGGGACATCTGAAATTAATTAAAAGATATGTTTGAGACAAACCAACCAAATGCATGGTAAGTTCTCCAGCATTTCAGGCTGCCTCATTAAGAGGAGGCAAAAGATTCAAGACTTAATACACTTACCTGATTAGACTTTTCTACTGTACTGCTGGGAACCTCAGTAGTGTCCTTCACAAAAAAATTATCTATGATGTGTCTCTCGGCACATTCTTGGCTGCAAACTGGACATCGAATGACTCCCACTGGGAAAGACAAAATTGTGTTCTAAGTTGTTTTTGGTTAAATTCAAGTATAACTGACATAACATTAAAATTAGTTTAAGGTGTACAATGTAATGATTTGATATTTGTATATATCACAAAATGATCACCACAAAAATTCAGTTAACATCTGTCACCATGAACAATTACAACTTCTTTTTTCTGGTGGTGAGAACTTTTAAGATCCACTCCTCTAGCTACTTTCAAATATACAATACAGTATTCCTAACTATAGTCACCATGCTGTACATTACATCCCCATGACTAACTCATTTTATAACTGGAAATTTCTACCTTTTGACCCTTTTCACCCATTTCGCCCCCCCCACCCCCACTTCAGGCAACCACCAATTCTGTTCTTTATATCCATGAGCTCACATTCTAAGTTTATACATACTGAGTCCTAACCCAACACATCTCATCCAAACTGTGAATGGATTCTGTGAATGTCCACTCTCTTCAAATTCATACCTATTACTTAACACAAAGCAATTCAATTTATGTATATACAGGGGTTTTAGATGCGTGTGTGCACCCACACGTGTGTGTATACATATGATGTGTATGTGTATATGTCCCACACTAGTATATTAAATGATGAATAAGTGCTCATAATTTTAAATGAGATACCCTTCCAAATAAATATCCTTCTGACTATTCTTTTTATTGTTTAGCAACTTCTCTCACAGTGTTTTTCAAATAGAGATGTACAGAATCATACGGAGACTTTAAAAGAATGAGAGTTCTGGATCTCTCTGGACCTATGGAATCAGGATTTCTGAAAGTGGAACACAGACATACCCATTTTGTTTATGTTTGTTTTTGTTCTGAATCTTGATTCAGAAACACCAATCTGCTTCCTTTATCAAGTGCAAATAGTATTCCTTTGGGTGGGGGTGGGGTGTGAATCTTTCATAGTGCTTGGTAAAACAATAAATAATTAATAATTGTGAATGAATTAAAATCTAAATTTTTAATTAAATTAAAAAAATTAATATAAACTTGATGGAGTAATTTGTACCAAGGAGACTGCAGTAAGGTTCCCAGATACATTTTATTCAAAATGAAATGCATAAGAATGAACACAATCCAAAGGTCAATTTCATTTGTATATACAAGCAATAAACAAAAATTTTAATTAAAAAAACTATTTTACAATAGCAACAAAAAAAGTACTTAGTAGTAAAATTTTTTAAATGTATAAGGCCATTGTGTAGAAAAATGTTAAGCTATATTTAGAATCATTAAAAAAAAAATCTAAGTAATGAAAACACCATGTTCTTGATGGTAAAGATGCCAGTTCTCCCCAGACATGTCTATACATTCAATGCAGTTTTTAATAATAATACCAACAGGGATTGCAATAGAGTTTTGACAAGCTGGGGAAACATGTCTAACAAATAACACAGTAAACATATAAAGCTATGGTAATTAAGATGGTGTGATATTATGAAAGGATAAACAAAAATGGAACAGAATATACGTACCAGAAACACAAGACAGATGTGGCACTAGAAGCTGGTGGAAAGGGGGCGCTATAGTTTGCTACAGTGGGAGAAGGACGAAACCAGATCTCTCAATTCAAAAAAAAAATTCTCCAAGGGGGGAAAGCAGGGGTGGGTGGGGTGGTGGGATGAACTGGGAGACTGGGATGGACATACATACACTAATATGTATAAAATAGATAACTAGTAAGAACCTGTTGTAAAAAAAATAATAATAAAATAAAATTCAAAAAAAATTCTTTTGGATAGGATAGATTTAGAACTTTAAAACTTTCAAGAGGAAATACAGGAGAGTATCTGTGTAACCTTAGAGCTGGAATAAATTTCGCAATCAAGAAACAAAGAGCAATGGGCTTCCCTGGTGGCGCAGTGGTTGAGAGTCCGCCTGCCGATGCAGGGGACACGGATTTGTGCCCCCGTCCGGGAGGATCCCACATACCGTGGAGCGGCTGGGCCCGTGAGCCATGGCCACTGGGCCTGCGCGTCCGGAGCCTGTGCTCCGCAGTGGGAGAGGCTACAGCAGTGAGAGGCCCACGTACCGCAAAAAAAAAAAAAGAAACAAAGAGCAAGAGCATAAGAGAAAGATGAATAAGTTCATTAAAGTTAAGAAGTACAGTTAGACAAAAGATTACCATGAAGAAAGTGAGACGATAAGCCCCGGACTGGGAGAAGATATACCTGACACACAGCACTGACAAGAAATTAGTAATTAAAATCTGTAAAAATGTGACAATGCATTTCACAAAATAGAAAGATTGAGGAAACATGTTTTTCCTTATTCCAGATAAGTACAGCTAAAGACTCTAGACATTCTACATAAAACTGAGAAAGGTAGACAGGAGGCAGACTGTCTAGAGACCTCAGGACCCAAGGAATGACAATGGTGAGTTCACTGGGTTTTCTTTTAGCCTCATATATGCCAAAGTAGGTGCTCATGAAGCTACCATCTCAGAAATATCAACAGGTGTAAACAAAAAAAAGTCCACAAAAGCCTGCTCCCTTTATCCAGAGGACAGGAAAAGGGCAGCCTGGCAAGAAAGAAAACTACTCCAGCAAAACACCACAGAAAAAAATGTGCTTCCTCTCCCACCATCAAAGACCCAATGGGAAGCCTAGACTTCTACCCTGGCCAAGCAGAAACCAGGTGCCCCAACCATCTCCTGCTGGCTGTGTCAGAGAAGCCTGGTGGGGAGTTAGGGCTTTGGTCCTCACTGGGTGGTAATGAGGCCCCCAGCAGTGTCTGTGGAGACTGTGTGAGGAGCCTGAGCTTGTAACTCCAGGACAGTAATGAGGTACCCCTCCACCTCCATGCTGAAGGGTAGTGGAAAGTCTGGACTTTTATCGCTATTTACCAGTAACCTCCCTCGCCCCTATATCCCCACTCCTTAGATGTGTCAATGAAGAACACATGGGAAGCAGTAAGTAGGCACCCATACCCCTACTAGCCAGGGAGGTATCAACAGAGGCCTGGTGGGAGCATCAACTTCCACACCATTGACCAGTAAGGAGGAGGGCCTCCCTCTCAGGATATCAAAGGATGCAGCAAGTAGAACTTAGACCTCAACCTTTGCCTCACAGGAGGCAGGAAATAGTAAATATAAGAGCAGAAGCGAATGAAACTGAAAACTGAAAAGTCAATTCAACAAAAAGCTCGTTATTCAAAAAGGTCAATAAAATTAACAAACCTCCAACAAGACTGACAAAGACAAAGGAGAAGACACAACTTACCAAACATAAAGAACAAAAAATGGGGGTATCACTAGAGACCATACAGACAGCAAAAGAATGACAGAGAAATATTAACACTACTCACACAAAATGACAATATAAGTAAAATGGACCAATTCCTCAAAAGGCACAAACAAATGTGAAATAACCTGAACAGCCTTTTTAACTACATGGAAATCAGCTGTAAACAAAATGAAATACTAACAAACATGTATATTACTTGTATGCTGAAAACTACAAAATTAAGAAATCAAGAAAGATCTAAATATATGGAGAGACAACGTTCATGGATAGAGATAACTAATGTAGTAAAGAGGTCAATTCTTAATGTGATCTACCAGTTTAACAGAATTCCTAATACAAACCCAATAATATTTTTTTTGTAGATATAGACAATATTGCTTTAATATTTATATTAAAAGGCAAATGAAGGACTTCCCTGTGGCACAGTGGTTAAGACTCTGCCTGCCAATGCAGGGGACACAGGTTCGATCCTTGGTCTGGGAAGATCCCACATGCCGCGGAGCAACTAAGCCTATGTGCCACAACTACTGAGCCCACAGGTCACAACTACTGAAGCCTGCGCGCTCTAGGCCCTCATGCTGCAACTACTGAGCCTGCATGCCTAGAGCACGTGCTCCGCAATAAGAGAAGGCACTGTAATGAGAAGCCCGCACACCACAACGAAGAGTAGCACCTGCTCGCTGTAACTAGAGAAAGCCCACGCGCAGCAAAGAAGACCCAACACAGCCATAAATAAATAAATAATAAATAAATAGCAAATGCATTATAATAGCTGAATCGATAATGGAAAGAAGAATAAAGCGGAGGAATCACTCTATCCAATTTCAAGGCTTATATAGCAACAGTAATCAGGAATGCCTGTTATTGACCAAAGAATAGACACACAGATGAATGAAATAGAATAGAGACCTGAAACAGACCTATACAAGTAGGGCCAACTGATTTCTGACAGAGGTGCAAAAGCATCTTTATACTGATTAAGTCCAAAATGCTGATGAGAGATATACTGTGTTCATGGATTGGAAGACTCATCACAGTAAAGATGTCAATTCTCCCCAAACTGATCTATAGGCTAGTGTATTCCTATCAAAATCCTAGCTAGATCTCTTTGTAAATATAGACAAGATTATTCCAAGATTTATGCGGAAAAGGAAAGGAACTAGCATAGCTAAAGCAAGTCTGGAAAAAGAAAAATATCGTAAGAAGACTCACTATCCAATATTAATACTTACATATAGTGAGTTAGACAGGGTAGTATTGGCAGTATACATGCACAGATGAATGGAACAGAATACAGCACCCAGAAATACACCCACACAAGTAAGCGCAACTGATTCTGGACAAAAAGTATGAGAACAATTCTTTGGAAGAAGGAAAGACTTTTCAACAAATTGTTGAAACAACAGGATATTCATAGGCAAAAACTGGACTTCAAACTAACCTTCACATTTTATATAAAAATTAACTCAAAGTGGATCAGATTTAAATATAAAACATAAAACTATAAAATCTTTGGAAGAAAACAGGAGAAAATCTTAAGGACGTAAGACTTGCTGAAGGTCTTAGACATATCAAAGACAATCCATAAAAGAAAAATACGGATGAATTTGATTTCATGAAAATTTAAGACTTTTGCTCTGCAAAAGGCCTATGAAGATGAAAAGACAAGCGACACACTGGGAGAAAATATTTGCAAAACACAGATCTGACGAAGGATTCATATCT